TTGGTCCAAAATGTGATTTCCCTATATAAACTATAGTAAAGTTTACCCCCTCCCCAGGGGGAAACGTGAGACCCCAGGGTCAAGAAATTCACAATTTTAGTAAAGCACCTTAAGACCCTTCTATCTATGAAGAGTATTTGATTCTACCATATCTGGATCTTGAGAAGAAGATTTTTGAAATTTTAGTCAATTTTACCCTTTTTGGCCCCGCCCCTCAGGCCCCTGGGGGCTGGGGACCATATAATTCACAACTTTAGTTGACCTTTGGCCATGGAAGGTTTCTGCAAAATTTCATTGAAATTGGTTTAGGGGTTTTGGAGAAGAAGTTGAAAATGTAAATTGTTTACGGACGCATGAAGGACGACAGTCGAGGGACGAGGACGGACAAAAGGCGATCGCAATAGGTCACTTGAGACTTTGTCTCAGGTGACCTAAAAACAAGTCCCCAAAGGCATGGAGCTTATAACCTTTGAGGACATTTGTGAAACTGGATCCTGATTTCTTTGTGTTTCTTTTTTCCACCAGTTTTTGTTTTCAATTATTCAAGACTAAAAGTACATGTTTTTGTTTTTAAAATTCCAATTGCATTTATTCACTTCCTATATATAGTCGGGATTAAGGCAAATGTAACTTACATTTTTACTAGAAGTGAAAATATTTTGTATTACCTTTGATCCCTAGTCACACCTAGAACTTGATATTAAGGATATGAATTTGAAAGAACTAGAAAATACACTGTCATGATACAAATACTCATCAGCAAAAGTTCAGTCATTTACAAGTTACGGCCAAGACAAGTAATAAAATGATTTGATATCTGATCGCTTGCCATGACTGACCTTTAGGGTAGGGACGTAAGTGTTGTTTGACACACTGATTCATGATCTGTACATGATAAACATATCAGTCTGTTAGGTGTCATAAGAAAATGTTCAGTCATTTAGGAGGCAATACAGAGGTCCTGGAATAATGAAATTAGTAAGACAAGGTTTTAACATAAATATGTGGGCAAACCGAATACAGTGATTGATATACACTACCCCTTACTTCATTTAAGGGAGAGACTATAATGAAGCATCCTTTAAGAATAGGAATTCTGCTGTCCCCGAAATCATTAAAGTTTCTGTACCACTTGGCTCTAGATATTGTTAAATTATTCATACTGTTGAAATATCCATCACTCAAGCCGTAACAGGAACATTGGGTGTGTAAGTTAATGTCTGATCGCGTGGATACAGGGTAAGGGATTTCTTCCGGACAGAGAGTTCTATGACGCAAATTATGACACAGGTAAAAAGTACCACGACATCTCCCACCTGTACAGGTCCTGGTACAAGAGCACTTAAAAAGTTTAATACATTCAGGTAGATTTCGTATTTGTTTAGATATGCATGTGTCGTTTATTACTGACGTAGAATCAAACTTGTTGTTAGCAAGTCAAACACGACGACATAAGAACAAGTAAGACACGACGACATAAGGAAAAGTGAGACACGAGGACATAAGGACAAGTAAGATACAACGACATAAGGACAAGTGAGACACAACAACATAAGGAAAAGTGAGACATGACGACATAATGGCAAGTGAGACACGACGACATAAGGAAAAGTAAGACACGACGACATAAGGACAAGTAAGACACGACGACATAAGGACAAGTAAGACATGACGACATAAGGACAAGTGAGAAACGACGACATAAGGACAAGTGAGAAACAACGACATAAGGACAAGTAAGACATGACGACATAAGGACAAGTGAGAAACGACGACATAAGGACAAGTAAGACATGACGACATAAGGACAAGTAAGACAAGACGACATTGTAGGACAAGTAAGACACGACGACATAAGGAAAAGTAAGACACGACAACATAAGGCTACGAGGGTGTAATCACAACACAACTTAACGGTACCTTATTAAGTTAAACATGAATGCTGACTGGTTGCCATGCATCTATAACATGCTTAACTCAATAGAGCAGTGTTAATGCAGTATGTCAGGCTGTGTTGTGATTGATGCACCTCCATATCCATTTGTCAGCTATGTCATGTCCACACCTAGGCAAAGCAACCAGACAGTTACTCAACAGGAACAAGGCACCGGCTAGCGCTCCTCTCCGTTACAGTCACATACTCCCTATTCTTGATAATATTTGACTTGTACCAACAACCCTACTGTTATAATTGTCTTCATGTAGCATCGCAATGTACAACAGCAAATTGTTCCCGCTTCTTAGTCTGACTGTTTAGAAGAAAATAGTGTAATAATCTGTTTTCCATGAAGTTCCATCTACCAAGAAATCATCCCGAGGCCGATGCCTCTAACCTATATAAGTTTACATGTACTTGTCAGGATAGAATGTGACCCCCTCTATAATTTTATAGTATTACTATCCCTGAACACAGGACCTCCAGTAAATGTCTACATCTGATGGTAAGGTAAGAGCTAAGAATCAATAATTAAGTTATAAACATTATGGCACAAACCTGCAGCTCCTGAGAGCCGAACTTCAGTCAGAGTCACAGAGAAGCTTGAGTCCATCTCCAGGAATCCGTCGCCGGCCAGTGGGATATGTGTGATGACCTCAGCCTGACCATCATCAAATGAAACTGTCCCACCACTCTTGGACAGTAGCACACCGGTCTGAAGCTGTTCACATAAAACAGATAATCAGCTAGAAATCTAACTGGATACATACAACTTGGAACACAATGTTACAATTCTCTTATAAACAAATTCTTTTAAACTATATACTAAGATAAACTTATGGTTTCTGTTTAGTAGGCTAATGTTTGTGGGATGTGTTGAAAGTTTCATACATAAACGGTACTTCAGAATCAGCCTAAATAGAAATTGGGGGTGACAGAGAAATCATACACTCTAGGGGGTGACAGAGAAATCATACACTCTAGGGGGTGACAGATAAATCATATACTCTAGGAGGTGACAGAGAAATCATACACTCTATGGGGTGATAGAGAAATCATACACTCTAGGGGGTGACAGAGAAATCTTACACTCTAGGGGGTGACAGATAAATCATATACTCTAGGGGGTGACAGAGAAATCTTACGCTCTAGGGGGTGACAGAGAAATCTTACACTCTAGGGGGTGACATAGAAATCATACACTCTAGGGGGTGACAGAGAAATTATATACTCTAGGAGGTGACAGAGAAATCATACACTCTAGGGGGTGACAGAGAAATCTTACACTTTTGGGGGTGACAGAGAAATCTTACACTCTAGAGGGTGACAGATAAATCATACACTCTAGGGGGTGACAGATAAATCATACACTCTAGGGGGTGACAGAGAAATCTTACACTCTAGGGGGTGACAGAGAAATCATACACTCTAGGAGTGACAGAGAAATCATACACTCTAGGGGGTTACAGAGAAATCATACACTCTAGGGGTGACAGAGAAATCTTACACTCTAGGGGGTGACAGAGAAATCATACACTCTAGGGGGTGACAGAGAAATTATATACTCTAGAGGGTGACAGAGAAATCATACACTCTAGGAGTGACAGAGAAATCTTACACTTTTGGGGGTGACAGAGAAATCTTACACTCTAGGGGGTGACAGAGAAATCATACACTCTAGGGGGTGACAGAAAAATCTTTCACTCTAGGGGGTGACGGAGAAATCATACACTCTAGGGGGTTACAGAGAAATCATACACTCTAGGAATGACAGAGAAATCTTACACACTAGAGGGTGACAGAGAAAGCATACACTCTAGGGGGTGACATAGAAATCATACACTCTAGGAATGACAGAGAAATCTTACACTCTAGAGGGTGACAGAGAAATCATAAACGCTAGGGGTGACAGAGAAATCATACACACTAGAGGGTGACAGAGAAAGCATACACTCTAGGGGGTGACAGAAAAATCATATCCTCTAGGGGGTGACAGAGAAACCATGTACTCTAGGGGGTGACAGAGAAATAATACACTCTAGGGGTGACAGAGAAAACTCACTATATGGGGTGACAGAGAAATCATCCACTCTAGGGGAGACAGAGAAATCACACTATATGGGGTGACAGAGAAATCATATACTCTAGGGGGTGACAGAGAAATCATACACTCTAGGGGTGACAGAGAAAACACACTATATGGGGTGACAGAGAAACCATATACTCTAGGGGGTGACAGAAAAATCATATACTCTAGGGGGTGACAGAGAAATCTTACACTCTAGGGGGTGACAGAGAAATCTTACACTCTAGGGGGTGACAGAGAAATCATACACTCTAGGGGGTGACAGAGAAATCATACACTCTAGGGGTGACAGAGAAATCATACACTCTAGGGGGTGACAGAGAAATCATACACTCTAGGGGTGACAGAGAAATCTTACACTCTAGGGGGTGACACGAGATATCATACACTCTAGGGGGTGACAGAGAAATCTTACACTCTAGGGGGTGACAGAGAAATCTTACACTCTAGGGGGTGACAGAGAAATCATACACTCTAGGGGTGACAGAGAAATCTTACACTCTAGGGGGTGACAGATTAATCTTACACTCTAGGGGGTGACAGATAAATCTTACACTCTAAGGGGTGACAGATAAATCATATACTCTAGGGGGTGACAGAGAAATCTTTCACTCTAGGGGGTGACAGATAAATCATATACTCTAGGGGGTGACAGAGAAATGTTACACTCTAGGGAGTGACAGAGAAATCTTCCAATCTAGGGGGGGACAGAGAAATCTTACACTCTAGGGGGGGACAGTGAAATCTTACACTCTAGGGGGTGACAGAGAAATCATATACTCTAGGGGGTGACAGAGAAATGTTACACTCTAGGGAGTGACAGAGAAATCTTCCAATCTACATATACTCTAGGGGGTGACAGAGAAATCTTTCACTCTAGGGGGTGACAGAGAAATCATATACTCTAGGGGGTGACAGAGAAATCTTACACTCTAGGGAGTGACAGAGAAATCTTCCAATCTAGGGGGTGACAGAGAAATCTTACACTCTAGGGGGTGACAGAGAAATCTTACACTCTAGGGGGTAACAGAGAAATCTTACACACTAGGGGGTGACAGAGAAATCTTACACTCTAGGGGGTGACAGATAAATCTTACACTCTAGGGGGTGACAGATAATTCATACACTCTAGGGGTGACTGAGAAATCATACTTTAGACCCAAGGGAAATCTTACCCAAGAGATGACAGAGACCCAAGGGAAATTTTACACTAGAGGTGACAGAGAAATCATACCCTAGGGGTAATAGAAAAATCTTACCCAATAGGTGACAAGAGAAATCTTCACTAGTGACGACAGAGACCTAAGGGAAACTGCCCAATGGGTGACAGAGAAATCATACCCTAGCGGCTGACAGAGAAATAATTTCCTAAAGGTAAAGGAAGAAATCATATTCTAAGGGGTGACAGAGAAATCTTACCCTAGAGATGACAGAGACATCATACCCTAGGGGTGACAGGAGAATCTTGAACATGTAAAATCAGAGAAATTCTGTGAATGGAGGGAGAAAATTACATGCAGGACCAATATCTCTTAAAAACAAGTGTAAATCTTTCTGATGCATGCATTCTGAAAGCTCAAGATTATTTTAAATCAAATGAAATGACAAATTGCAAAATAAAAATAAAAATTGCAAATGATTATGATTTAAAAAAAAAAAGGTTTATAACATTTTGTACTTTTTGTCACGACCATAACCAAGAGAGTTTAATGGAGTCTAATAAAAGATGCCTTAATTCAGACCCAGATTTTAAACCCTACTTCTTGTATGTATGAACACATATTCCATTAAAAGAAAACTACAAATCTGGCCCTAAATCATTTGTGAGAAGTTCAATAAATTACATGGGTCATCTGATATTATCTAACTTCAAACATTCCCAATTTAAAGACCGCCTATCGGGAATCAAGAAAGTCATAAATTATTTCCTGTCTGCCAGTACTTTCACTAAATAAATGTAAACAGATACCAGTTTGGATCCCAATATACATAAAACATCGGACAAATCTTTTTGAGTACTTTTGACCGTCAGTGTTACACTCTGTTGGGTACAAGGTAGGTCAACGTCTTACTAAATGGTTTAAAACTCATCTTCAGTATTTCAGATCTGAACCGTGATTTGACCTTTAACATCAGTGATTTGACCTTTAATATCTATTGAGAGATTTATCAATAACCCTAGTTTTATAAGTCTTATCATGTATGATATAACACATATCCTGTAGAATTGACCTTAGTGCTTTGACCTTTGTCCTCAGCTTGACTACATTGTAGGTAGATTGATCTATACAGAGGAAATTCTCAGGGCACATGGTCTTTTAAGGACATTGAGGAACCGTCAAACTTTACCTACAAATGTGCCCTACTGTTATATTATAACATGCCTCTATATACGCCTGACTATAATGAAAACCTGTATATATATCCAACACAATTTTGAAGCTTTTTAGTCTGAAGCCCTTCCTTTTACCGATGATAGACTGTCATATCAAACCAAATGACTGATTTCCCCTCAGTAAGCATGTGTAGTCACAACAAACTGTTTAGAATCACTTTTATGATCCTTATATACAAGGTTAACCCATTTGAACAATCTAAACTTTCTCTTGAAATCAATTCACTTCTATAAATGAAACATTTACAAGAAAATCTTTTAGTAGAAAATAAATCTCGACTTGTTTGAGTAATTCTGAAGTATTCATTTTTGTTAACGTACTTATCCTATTCACCCTGAGAAGTCATGCACATCATGCATGTAGAACATGTTGATTATGTTTGAATGGGATAAAACTTTGAGTTAAACATGGTTTGCAATATAATCCTATAAATACAGTGATATTGAGGCTAATTAGGTAAGCAGTACTCCACCTCAATGATAAATGTTTCTTTCAAAGGGTGTGGGTTTGGCCATTTTAAAGATTAAAAAGGAAAGATATTTATCGCCTCCACACACAGACATAAATAGCCAATTTTGTTTACTTTCTTGTTAAATGTTTGAAAAGGATAAGCTCATGCTATTTCAAATCAACAGAAAGAATTTTATATGTTAAACTTTCCATCTTCTTGATTTATTTTCGTTTTATTCTATTTTTTAAATACTTCAAGTGCATTAAGTTTAAAATAAGATTCCCACTAATCTATGCAATATTTTCTGTATTGAGCACACTGGGTATTTATAAAAGGTATGGTTTGGAGAGTTCTTAATGAGAAAACTTTTATAATACAAGAGGCCCAATGGGCCTGAATCACTCACCTGGTATTAATCTCACACTTGTAATCTTAAAAGTGGACTTAAATACAGCTACAAGCAGAATATCAGTGTTTGAATCATAAGAACCTATTAAAAGATTTAAACATATGATGCCTGTGACCTTGAATGTCGAACAAGGACATTAGGTTGAACAGAGTTTATAGTCTTCCAACACAGCATGCTTTTGGAGAAATATTTTAAAGTAATTTAAAGATTTAAACATATAATGACCACTGTGACCTTGAATATGGGCGAAGGTTATTCATTTTCACAAACTTGTTAGCCCTTCAAAACAGCATGCTTCTGCTCAAATAGCATCATTGTAGGCCTTTTGGTTATTGAGAAGAAGTTGTTTAAAGGCTTTAAACATATTTGACCCCTGTGACCATGAACATAAGTAAAGGTCATTCATTTGAACAAACTTGGTAGCCGTTCATCCCAGCAAACTATTGACCAAATATCATTGTCCTAGGCTCCTTGGTTATTAAGTAGAAGTTGTTTAAAGGTTTCATACATATTTGACCCCTGTGACCTTGAATATACTTCAAGGTCAATCATTTGAACAAACTTGGTAGCCCTTTATTCCAGCATGTTACTGGCTAAATAACATTATCCTAGGCTTTTTGGTTATTCAGAAGAAGTTGTTTAAAGATTCTAAACATATTTGACCCTAAACATATTTGACCCTAATCAAATGTCTGCCTTTTTAAAATACATACATCTTAGAGTGTAGGTATCACGATTTGTAAATCGTGATCAACAATCTATTTTGTGTTGTTCTTTGATGTGAAACAAAAAGTCAAAAGTACATGAGGTAGCATGCTGCCGAACTAGAGGTTTATCACTAGAGGTCTATCACTAGAGTTTTATCACTAGAGTGTTATCACTAAAGGTTGATCACTAGAGTTATCACTAGAGGTCTATCACTAGAGGTTTATCACTAGAGTTATCACTAGAGGTCTATCACAAGAGGTCTATCACTAGAGGTTTATCACTTCTATCACTAGAGGTTTATCACTAGAAGTCTATCACTAGAGGTCTATCACTAGAGGTTATCACTATAGATTTATCACTAGAAGTCTATCACTAGAGGTTTATCACTAGAGGTCTATCACACTAGAGATCTATCACTAGAGGTTTATCACACTAGAGATCTATCACTAGAGGTCTATCACACTAGAGATCTATCGCTAGAGGGGTATCACTAGAGGTTTATCACTAGAGGTCTATCACTAGAGGTTTATCACTAGAGGTCTATCACTAGAGGTTTATCACTTCTATCACTTGAAGTCTATCACTAGAGGTTTATCACTAGAGGTCTATCACTAGAGGTTATCACTAGAGATCTATCACTAGAGGTTTATCACTAGAGGTTTATCCCTAGAGGTCTTTCACTAGAGGTTTATCACACTAGAGATCTATCACTAGAGGTTTATCACACTAGAGATCTATCACTAGAGGTCTATCACACTAGAGATCTATTACTAGAGGTTTATCACACTAGAGATCTATCTCTAGAGGTCTATCACACTAGAGATCTATCGCTAGAGGTTTATCACTAGAGATCTATCACTAGAGGTTTATCACTAGAGGTTTATCACTAGAGGTCTATCACTAGAGGTTTATCACTAGAGGTCTATCACTAGAGGTTTATCACTTAAGGTCTATCACTAGAGGTTGATTCCTAGAGGTCTATCACTAGAGGACTAGAGGTCTATCACTAGAGGTCTATCACTAGAGGCCTATCACTAGAGGACTAGGGATCTATCACTAGAGGTTTATCACTAGAGGTCGATCACTAGAGGACTAGAGATCTATCACTAGAGGCACACTTGTTATCTTAGTTGAACTTCCACACTTCAAGTAAAATGCATTTTTGTTACATAGGGAAGTTGTCCCTATTTTAAACACAACATCTGATTATGTGATCTCATTTCATAGACAAACAAGAGGCCCAATGGGCCTGCATCGCTCACCTGGTATAAATCTCACACTTGTAACCTTAAAAGTGATCTAAAAGCTACAGGCAAAATATCAGTATTTATGATTAAAATTCGTTCAAAAGACCTGGCTAATTTTTTTTAAAACATTTCACCCCTGTGATTGAAAGTCGAACAAAGTCATTATGTTGAACACATTGTATAGCCTTTCATCTCAGGATGCAACTTGCAAAGTATAAACATCCTGGGACCCATGGTTATTCATAAGAGGTTGTTTAAAGATTTTACACAAATTTGACCCCTGTGGTCTTGAATATAAGTCAAAGTCATTCACTTTAACAATCATAGTAGGCCTTGATCCCAGCATATGCTACTAACTAAATATCAACATCCTGAGCCTTTTGGTTATTCAGAACAAGTTGTTGAAATATTTTAAACATATTTGCTCCTTGTGACCTTGAATATGATTCAAGGTCATACATTTAAACAAACTTGGTAGCCCTTGATCCTAGTATGCTACTGACTAAATATCATCACCCAGGGCATTTTGGTTATTCAGAAGAAGTTGTTTAAAGTTTTTAACATATTTGACCCCTGTGACCTTGAATATGGATGAAAGTCATTCATCTGAACAAACTGTGTAGCCCTTCATCTCAGCTAGCTACTGGCCAAATATTATCACCCTGGGCATTTAGGTTATTCAGAAGAAGTTGTTTAAAGTTTCTAACATATTTGACCCCTGTGACCTTGAATATGGATGAAGGTCATTTATTTGAACAAACTTTGTAGCCCTTCATCCCAGTTTGCTTCTGGCCAAATATCATCACCCTAGGCCTTTTGGTTATTAAGAAGAAGTCGTTTAAAGTAAAATATTGACGATGGATGGACGACGGACGGACGAGGGACGCCGCGCCACGGCATAAGCTCACTTGGCACTTCGTGCCAGGTGAGCTAAAAATATGAAGTTTACATTAATTCTACTAATACAAGTTAAGGTTCCTTTGCAATATGGTCAGATAAGTATTGCAGATAACTTAATAAATATATTGCATACGTTTATTTTCATGTATATCCGCATTCAGCATTGGTTACTATAAAAGGTACCATGCAAATAAATTACTTTCAAGACATACAAGCTTAAGGTGAATACTACATGAATGAAATTCTTCACGAAGTAGTGCAGAGATGTAATTAAGTGTGTCTGAAAAAGAAGTCATCAGCAGTGCTCGCTTGTTCCTGACAGTCATGGAGTCAATTAGTGATTTAACTTATGGTATCTTTGAGGTAATTCAATTAATGTTTCCTCTGAAACGATTTAAGCCATGTTTCCTGTTATCAGTTGGTTTGGTTTGGTATAATTTTGTTTAACATCCTATTAACAGCTAAGGTTATTAAAAGACGTGCCCCATGTGTTTAATGTATGCATGCTTGTGTGTGTGTATGCAGGAGACAGGGTATGTTGGTGTGCTTGCCTCCTTGTGATAGCGCGGATCTGATGCCGACTTTATTGTGCTATCTCACTGAAATACCATGCCGAAAGCACCCAGCACAGCATTCTGCCCGGTCACATTATACTGACAACGGGTGAATCAGTTGTTGCCATCCCCCTTAATGCTGAACCTTAAGCAGGGAATAACAACTACCATTTTTAAGGACTTTGGCATGTCACGGCCTGGGGACAGAACCTATTGCCTTCCTCACCTGGGCGAACGCTCAACATTTAAGCCAAAAGTGAGGTTTTGCCAAACAAGGCGCTAGGAATAAAAGGAAGATAGAAGTAGAAAGGAAGATAAAGATCACAAATATTGCAATGAGCACAGCAGATTTATTTTGATTGCTCTTGTGTCCCCAAATAGAGGACACCAAAGCAAACCCCTAATGCTGCAGGGGGTTTGTTGCCCCCTACGATACATGCAGTGGGTACAGCAGGTGTATTCTTTTCCCAGCTTGACTTGCTGGATGGACTAGGACAATTGAACAAAATTCACTTACCAAGTCATACTTGATCTGGAATGTGAGGATGATGTTTCCAAATGTGCCCGCATAGCGAGTGAAGTTGAGTCTGACCGAGCGACTGAGATCAGCTGGATTGACGATCACAGTCTGGTCACTCTGCACCACACCAAATAGGCCATGAGGATTGTCATTAAATCTAGCAATACAAAAGAAATACAAATATTATATATGAAAACCAAGTATCTGATAATCTACAGAGCTTATCACTACTGTAATGAATGTGCAATTAGTCAAGATATCAGCTTCATCCATTAAGGTAACTTCATCATGACAAGACACTAACTTCACCAATCAAGACACCAACTTCATCAATCAAGACACTAACTTCACCAATCAAGACACCAACTTCATCAATCAAGACACCAACTTCACCAATCAAGACACCAACTTCATCAATCAAGACACCAACTTCACCAATCAAGACACCAATTCCACCAGTCAAGACACCAACTTCATCAATCAAGACACCAACTTCATCAACCAAGACACCAACTTCATCAATCAAGACAC